TGGATTTCGTTCAAACTTGGTACATATATTAGACATTACAGGTTCCTGATGCACATCATTTATTTTTCAGATCGGATTCAAAATGGCTGTCTGGTGGCCATTTTGTTTTAATGAATGGGCTTCTAGAGCCATATCTCTTAAATGCTTTGACTGATTATATTCAAATTTTATACATTCGTTATACATCATGTTATATATCTATATACATGTATTCAAAATGTCTGATTTTCAATGCTGTTTCGGAGCAATATCTCTCAATATGGACAAGTAATCATATTCGTGACATGGTTATATTTCAGCTATATTACTATAAGCAAAACTATATATCTTAAATTTGATAACTAACAGGGACTGTGCCATGCATGGCTTGTTTTATGTGCATGTTAGTCAGATAGATTTCACACCATACAGGTGTGAGAGTTTATCTACATTGAGAGTGGATACTTTTAGAAACACTTTGTAGATAATTAAAAGCAAATGTCAACTGTATGGTAATTGTTATGAAGTCAGTTTATTTTGATTTGTATGAAGTGAAAACTGGTTGTTACAAACTTCATACAACATTCAATTGCTGACACAAGAAGTATTCATATTTACATGTACGCGTTCTCATTTTTCGTACAAAGTGAATTAGTTAAATTAATTTATAATCCTATAAATTATCATGTATTGTAACGTTATGGTATGAAAAATAACCTGTAATTCATCACATCACATCACAGTCATTTAATAATGACTGGTAGTTGTAGATTGGTTATTTATCATTTTTGTTCGAATCCTATTTGGGGATTACATTCATCATTGTATTACATGATTACATTACATTGTTATATTACATTCATCATTGTATTACACGATTACATTACATTGTTATATTACATTCATCATTGTATTACACGATTACATTACATTGTTATATTACATTACATTGTTATATTACATTAATCATTGTATTACATGATTACATTACATTGTTATATTACATTCATCATTGTATTACACGATTACATTACATTGTTATATTACATTCATCATTGTATTACACGATTACATTACATT